GGAATAAGCGCTTCCCAGGCAAGCGCAAGGGCCTGAGTTCAATCCCTGGTTCCGCAAAAAAAAAAAAAGTTGGGAAAAGAGACACAGAAAAATCTCCATTTTAAGGTACCCAGTAGAGATAATATACAAACGAGAAGTTATCCTAAGCATTACAGTTAATACAGTCATATGATGACAATCCTTCGTTTCCCCTCAGTTTCCAATCTATAGTTATTATAGACTTAGAAATGACCAAATTAAAATGTTGCATCCAGTGCAAGGATCACTTCTTCACCCTCCCTGGCAGCCGGTTATCCAGCATCTTCCAAACCATTTCAATCAGGAGGTGTTTTCTCTTTCTCACTGCCTGGTTAGAGTTCATGGAAGCTAGCTAGTTTCCTGCAGAAGCTGCCCCTAACGTTCTCCCTCCTGGGCGGGACCGGCCTGCATATCCACAGCCTGCATATAGCTCTAGTACAGCATGTGTCATGGCCCTTCTCAAGCCTGTATTTTCCACAGATTAAATGTGTGGATAACAAAACACTGGAAACTTATTAGCACTCCATAATTGTTCCAGTATTTGAAGGACATCTACTGGGCCTATACTGTCTTTTCTCTGGGTCGCTGGCCCCTTTCAGTGCATTCCATTTCCTTGAAACCTGTTCCTAAAAAAAAAGCCAAACAAACACTCTTTTTTTTTTTTTTTTTTTAGTGGAACCGGGGACAAACAAACACTCTTTTCCTTTTCCATGAATCAATAAAAAACACTCAAACTGTCAGAACCTCCCTAACATTGAGGACGATAATAAATTTCAGCTCCGCTTTTCCACCCCTCCCGGTATGCCCCGTAGAATTACTGTGATATAACAGTCTCCAAAGTGCAAGTTTAATTTAATCAATAAAGGGAAAATGATTAAAAAACCCCTAAAGATGGAAGTGGTCAGTGTATTACTCCACACTTCAGTCAACCGAGGGCCGACTTTAAATTTCACTTCATTGTTTTAGGATCGTCTCCCACCCTGCGCGCAAGCGCTTTATACTTTCAACTAATCTCGCACCCATCGCGTTAATCTCCCGCGCATGCGCCGATTCCGTCGCTTTAGTCCCAATTACTAACTCCTCTGCGACCTCTTGTTAAGGCTCACGACCTCATTATGGACTCTCTAACGCTACTAACCTGTATTCAAACTCTTCGTCGTCGTATTTGTCCGAGTAATAAATTTGTTTATGCGACATGTTCGCTCGGCCTGCGGGCCTTTAGCCCCACAACGCCAGCCTCCAAACAACTCCCAGCAACACGCGTCCCCACCCTCTTTGGCCTCGCTTTCAAACACACCGCCTGCACTTCCTATTGGTTCCTTTGGCGTAAGGCGGGACATCTGCATTTTGACGTCTCCGATTGGTTCATATTTGTTTCATCGCAAGTCCTTATTGGATTGTAGTTCTTACATTTCTCAAGAACCACCCTGGGTCAAAAGTAGGCCTCTTATTGGCTATTAATGTTCTGGTGCGCGTCTTCGCGCTGCCACTGGGTGGTTTGGGAAAGTGGGCGGGGTGAAGGAGGGACGGAGAGGTAGAGGGTCAGGGGGGTGAGTGAGGCCGGAAGTGAGTGTAATAAAGTTTCTCCAGGGAGGCAGGGCCCAGGGAGAAAGTTGGAGCGGCCACTTAGCGAAGCGGAGGCGTGATCCGGAACCAGATCGGCCCGCGGTGCGGCGCGGAGACTCCATGAGGCCCTGGTGAGTCTTGTTTTTCTTTCCTTCTTAGGCGACCCCCCTCCACCCCGGAACCCCTCTCTCGGGACCCCACTTCCGGTCTTTATTGATAAGCCCCGCCCCTGAGACCCCCTTCCCGGAAGTCCCACCTTCCAACTTCAGGGGGCTCCCTGAACCCCGACTTGTCTTTTATTGTCGTAACCCCGCCTTGTTGCTTGGCTTTCTTGGAAGCCCCACCCCCAGACACGCTTCCAAGCCTACTACAAGAAAGCCTTTCTCAGTTCTCAGGAACTGCGCCGCCTCTCAGTGATTCTCCGCTAACTCCTGTCTGTCAAAAGCGTAGCTTCCCAAGGTATATAGTGTTGCTACTGTAAGAACTGCTGGGTTTCGCTGAGGCCACGCCTCCCTCGGGCCCCTCCCTTTCCATAATCTACGTCCGATTGTCCACGAGCCTGGTCAGCGCTGTACTGGTTTTAGGGGACCACGCCCCACTAGGAGGTTGATTTATCCCTGCGGGCCCCAGGCCTTTATCTCAGTTTTGTGCTTATTCGCAGACGTTTTACTTGTGTACATTTTCATTCTTTTTTTGTGTGTGAGTGTTTTAGTCCAGGGTCTCACTGCACAGATGGGAATCGTAGTGATCCTTCCTGTTTTCAGCCTTCCAAGCGCTGGGATTACAGGCGCGCGCCACTATGTGTACATTTTCTTGTCTTTTCTCTCTTTGGCCCTTGGGCTCAGTCCTGAGCTCTCGTACACCACCAGATCGAAGTTCAAGTTCCCATCTCTGGCTGTGAGAACAGCCTCGAAACAGCCGTTTTCTTCTCTTTCACCTTCTTGAGAATGTAACTTTTTAGTACTGGGAATAGTAGTGACGACCTCTCCTTTGCCAGGCAGGCACTGTGCCGCTGAACTATATCCCCAGCCCATTCACCCTCTTACTTGAAATGCTTCGGTGCGAGAGGGGAAGAGACACTTAGATTTCTGGCCTCACAGTTTCCTTTCCTAGCACAGACCCCACCCCAGGAACAGCTGTGGGTTGAACCAGTCTGTGGCTAGATGAGGCCATGGTCTTGTATGCTTTGTGGACAGGAGTGAAAGTTTTGTCCCACCAGAAAAAATGGTGTTTTGAAGCCAGGAGTAGGTATTAGTGTCCCTTTTGTTTTTAAAGGAACTCCTCAGCTCCTCCTCCCCCATTCTCTGGCTTTTCCCTTTCCCCTAACCAGAGCTTTCTCCCTGGGCATTCATTCTGGCCTTTCTGGGGGCATTCCTGAAGCTTTCGCCATTTCCTGCTACTTCCTGTCCCACTTGCCCTCTCCCTGCATTGCTAAGAAACAACACATGGCTCTCCCCACTCTCACCTGATCTTCCAGTAGGAATCTCCTTTCTCCTTCTGCAGATATGAAGTCATACTTCCTTACTTGCACATGTCCACACCTGTTGGCCATTTCCTGCCTTTGGATACTGCAGGCACCCACAGTGCCATTTCTAAACATGTGGGCATCATGGTGTGGTTTTCTGTGTGTTGGGAGTGTGAGGCTGGCAGAATCCTTCCTTTGTCTATGCCAGAGCTGAGGCGTTAGCAAGTGGGGCAACAGAATTCCTTCTCAAGTGTGGGATGCACTAACAAAGCTCTGTTGGAATGAAGACTAAGGGGAGGTGAAGTAGGCAAGGTATCGAATACATTTTAGTGCTCAGCTGCTGTTTTGAGCCACTCTCTCTGTTGTTAATTCTAATGTAGTCACATAATTGATTCCTCTCAGTTTGTGTCTTGTGGTTTGTTTGTTTTTTTTTTTTTTGCGGAACCAGGTATTGAACTCAGGCCCTTACGCCTGCCAGGGAAGCGCTTATTCCACTGAGCCATTTCCCCGGCCTCGAATACATTTTAGGTGTTACCATTGTTCATATAGCATAGATCATTTTGGTTCTCTGAAGGACTAAGTATAATTCTGAGGTGAACCTGAGATGTATTTTTATTGGTGTTTTTGTCACTTTCCAACTTCCTGTATGGCCACCTCAAATAGAGCTGTGGCAGGAAGCTGTGGATGGAATGGGTTTGGGGCTATTACTTGGATCCAGGCTCAGCACATCTGACTGAAGTCAAGTACCCCTTAACTTCTCTTGTGACTTGTCTCCTTTGTGTTTTGAGAAAGGGCCTTGCTATGCTGCAGACTCCCATGTTCTAGGCTCATAGGCATCACCACCACGCCCAGCATGATTTCTCCATCTCTCACTGGCCTGCAGTCCAGACTTCTCTTCCGGAGCTTTTTTCTTCCACCTTTTCTATGCAGACCTCTCCCCTACTAGGAAGGACAGTGTCCACTTTGGTGGGGCTATGAATGTACTTGGTAGGTCTAGAAGGTTGACCTTAGACTTAGTACCCTGACCCCTCTTCCTCACCTGTAGTTTTTGAAATAGAGGCTTGGGCCAGGGTGATAGCTCAGTGACCTAAGTGCCTGCCTGACAAGCGCAAGGTCCTGAGTTTGATGCTGTAGTACTGCCAAAAAAAAAAAAAAAAAAGGTAAATGAAGTTTTGCAATGTTGCCCAGGTTGTACTGAGCACAAGTGATCGTCCAGCCTTAGCTTCCAGAGTGCTGGGATTAAGACATGAACCACCATGCCTGGCTCTTTCCCACTATTAGCTTCTTGCTTTGGTGACTAGACCAGTACAGTGCCTGACCTAGGGCTGTTGCTCCTTGGTTGGTAGGTGTAGCACATAGAGAACAAAACTTGACCCTCTTGCTTCAGTCTTTCCTGCAGCCCCTTGATGCACTGCCTAAGTTGGACTTTGCACCCTTACTTCATCAGCTTTACTTTTCCTCCTGTCCCTGTGTTACATCGACTGGGACCACTTTCTTTCCGTTCCCATTTTCCCCTCACTCTGGTTCACAGCTGTTGAGCACAGGGTGCTAATGGTCCAGGCTCCCTGATGGTGGTGGTGGTGGTGGTGGTTGGAGGCTGGAGCAATTCGAGTTACAGGACGGGAAGTTCTCAGATCTCCTCCCTTTCCACCCCTTGCTGCCTGTTTCCTCCCTCATTCCCCCCAGCCTCTCCAGGCTTCCTGTTCTCCCACGGCCTGCTTACGTCCGATGTCCGGTTTGGAGGGATCTAGACCTTCCCTTATCTCCTTCCTTACTTTCCTACTGCTACATCCTTCCCTTCCACCCCCACTTTCCTGCTCCCAGATTACTAGTTGTTAATGTAGAACAAGGGAAAGGGGCACAGCCAACTCTACCCCTGCTGGAGTTGGAGGTTTGGGCAGCACTAGCAAGGGCTCAGCCCCTCTGAGCCTGTGAGTCAGCACTGTCCTTGGGATTGGTCTCTCTCTTTCGATCCCCGCCTCTGGGGAGGAGCCAGCAGCCCTGGGTCCAGCCTGTTCTCTGCTCCAGCCGAGAGGAGGCTCTGCTCTGGGTGGGGATGGAGCGCGCAACTGTCTGGTTCTGACCTGGGGGAGCGGAAGCCACTGGTCTTTCTCCCTCCCCAAGACCTCTGTGACTTCTGGGCAGCTGAGGTCCGGCCAGGCTAAGGGCCGGGGATGCCCCCTGCCTGGCCCCCTTGCCAGAACTGGCAAGGGGGCCGGGCTGGGCAGCAGCCCCAGTCTCATCCCAGTCATGGATCTCCTACCCCCCAAGCCCAAGTACAACCCACTTCGGAATGAGTCTCTGTCATCGCTGGAGGAGGGGGCTTCGGGGTCCACTCCACCGGAGGAGCTGCCTTCTCCATCAGCCTCATCCCTGGGGCCCATCCTGCCTCCTTTGCCTGGGGACGACAGTCCTACCACCCTGTGCTCCTTCTTCCCCCGGATGAGCAACCTGAAGCTGGCCAACCCTGCCGGGGGGCGCCTGGGGCCTAAGGGGGAGCCAGGAAGGGCAGCCGAGGATGGGGAGGGGATCACAGGGACAGCTGTGCTGGACTCAGGCCCCCTGCCCCTCCTCCAGGACATGAACAAGCTGAGTGGAGGCGGCGGGCGCAGGACTCGGGTGGAAGGGGGCCAGCTGGGGGGCGAGGAGTGGACCCGCCACGGGAGCTTTGTCAATAAGCCCACGAGGGGCTGGCTACATCCCAACGACAAAGTCATGGGACCCGGGGTTTCCTACTTGGTTCGGGTGAGTGAATATTCTCCCTCTATTACCTCCCACACCCCCTCTAGGTCCTCTGCTTGCTCCAGCTTTGCTGGGATCTCTTCTTGCTCTTTCTTAACAACCCCTCTGTACTTTTTTGGCTCCTCCAATTCTGTGCTCCCTCCTTTCCAGGCTGGAAAAATTCCTGCCTGGGTCCCTTTCCTTTCTTTGGCACCCCTCCCCCCCAATTTAGCACAATGTCTGGCACATCTGAGGCACTTAGTGTTGGGATGAGTCTTCTCGATTCTTCTCTCTAGACTTCTCCCCTTTTCCAGAGGTGTCCCTCCTCCACTCCCCTCAGTGTCTCTTACTCCAAATTCTCCTGGGTGCATGAGGTCCTCCCAGTTTGCCCTTTCTCTCTCTCATTCCATGTTGTCTTGCATGTTCAAGGATGTAGCCATGGCAGTGGGTCTTTCCTTCCCCCTGGTGCCACCCAGGAAAAGTCCTAGGGCACTCTGTGATGGGGGGAGAGGCAGCTGACCTGTTGTCCCCACCCCTCCCTCAGTACATGGGCTGTGTGGAGGTTCTGCAGTCAATGCGTGCCCTTGACTTCAATACCCGGACTCAGGTCACCAGGTTAGTGGGCATGGGGTGGACTGTGTGAGGCCATGGGGAGGGGGAGAGGAAAGTGGGGCACTTGGTAGTGATGCTACGGGTGGCTTCTTTGGGGGTGTTAGGATTTGGAGGTTAGGATTTGGAGAAAGTTAAAGGAGTCAGTCTAAGTCTGAATGGAAAGAGGTGACTGATTCTGAGTTGCCTGGCCCAGCCAGCCTTAGTGGATGTGAGGAAGGTGGCAGAAGCAACTGGCAGGGTGTGGGGGAGTGGAGTGGCAAACGGGTAGGTGGAAGGTTGCTGTTGCCTTTGGGATGGGCATGTGACATTTGGTAGCTAGGAAGAGGTGGGGCTATGCCCATTGAGGCCCTAACCCAATCAGCCAGGAAACGGCCTCAGTGTCATCAAATATTAAAGGGCCTTAATTCAATCCACCATGACAAAGAGCCTGGAGTACCCTGGGAGTCTGGCCTAGTCTTCCCCTCCCCCAGCCGAGTGGGAGGCAGGCTGTGGGTCTGAGTACCTCTCTTTCCCCAGGGAAGCCATCAGTCTGGTGTGTGAAGCTGTGCCGGGTGCTAAGGGGGCGACTAGGAGGAGAAAGGTACATGGGTTCAGTGGGGTTGGGGGAGATGTGGAGGGCTGGGGGAGGGCAAGTGTGTGATAAGTGGGTGGAAAGGCAGGAGGTGCAGGGATGCTCAGGTTCTGAGACTCTGGGCCCTTCCCCAGCCTTGTAGCCGTCCTCTCAGCTCTATCTTGGGGAGAAGTAACCTCAAATTCGCTGGAATGCCAATCACTCTCACTGTATCCACCAGCAGCCTCAACCTCATGGCCGCAGACTGCAAACAGGTTGGTTGTGTGAGCAGGGGGACTAGAGGCACAGACTGCTAAAGGGAGGTCTAGTTAGGAGGCCAAAACTAGGAGAGGGGGCTTGGAAACAGCAAGGTAGTAGAAAGAAGACATTAGGAGGCATGGGTAAGGAACCAAAAGAATGAGATAGGGGCAGGGCTCTGGACCAAGAGTGGGAGGTACCCGTGAAGGCCAGACGCTCCCTGACTCTTGTCATTCCCTTTCTTCTTCATTTTGCCCTTGGATCTGCAGATCATTGCCAACCACCACATGCAATCTATCTCATTTGCGTCCGGCGGGGATCCGGTGAGTTGGGAAACTGAGTTGTGGGGAGATGACTAAGGATTTGGGATTGGGAATACACTGGTAGAAAAGTGGGAGTGCTGGAGTTGCTGGAATTTCTGAAAAGAGCTGGGCATTAGGGTCAGGAGGAAGGTGAAGCTGTAAAAGACACTAAGTGGCTTTCTTCTGACGCTGTCCACCCCAGGACACAGCTGAGTATGTCGCCTATGTTGCCAAAGACCCTGTGAATCAGAGAGGTGAGGCACAGTGGGGAGCACTGGGTAGGGCCGGTCGCGCATGAGACATGGGGTAGTCTCTCTCCAGTCTTACTGGGCAGAGCTAATAGGGGCCTGCCGATGCCTCCTTCCAGAAGCCTCACCTCAGACTCACTAACAGCTCTTCTGTGCCCTCAGCCTGCCACATCCTGGAGTGTCCTGAAGGGCTTGCTCAGGATGTCATCAGCACCATTGGCCAGGCCTTCGAGCTGCGCTTTAAACAATACCTCAGGAACCCACCCAAGCTGGTGACCCCCCATGACAGGTGAGCAGAGGCAAGGGTGTGGGGCAGGCTGTGGACTCCAGGGGAGACTGGGAAAGGAGGCCTGCTGGTGCCACTTGTCAGCTCGAAGAAGTTCAGGGAAGGAGATAATCTGCGCATCCTGCTTTCCACTCCCTACTATTCATAACATTTCCGGTGGCCCATAGGGGAGTTTTGTGATTTTTAAAAAAAATTTTTTTTAAATCTTTTATTTATTTAATTGGTACAGGGTCTCTACACAGCTCAGACTTCTGGTGATCCTTCTGTCTCAGTCTCCTTAGTGCTGGGATTACAGGCATGTGCCACCATGTCCGGTTTCAGTGGCTGGCACAGTGGTACCAGGAATTGAACCTGGATTCTTGTGCTTGCCAGGCAGGTGTTTAGACCGCTAAGCTATCTCCCCAGCCACTGGGGGAGTCTTGTGTGCTGTGTTGGAGCTATGTTTCTGTGCCTCCAGCGGCAGCTCTTTCTCTGACTTGATGGGGCTTTCTCTTTATGGCATCCTGACTTTTAGCTCATCTTTCTTGCCTATATCTCCATCCTTCAGCCTGTGTTCTTCTGCTTCTATAGGTCATTGAGAATTTGCGTTGGGAGGGTATCTTTTCTCTGAGCTCCCTACCTTCCCCACCTCAGGCCTCATGGGGTAAGCAGAGGTAGCAGTTGTCACTGTGTATTTCAGAGAGGTTAAACCATTCTGGAGGAGCCCATCCCCACTACCTGTGCTCCCTGACCCTGTTAGGAGACAGTGCAGCAATACAGGACAGGAGCTTTACAGTCAAACCCAAATTTAAACCTTGGGTGTATCTTTTAGTTGTGAGAATTTGGGCAAGTCTTTTTACCTCTGACTCATTCTCAGTTGTAAAACAAGGGAAGGGAATAATACCAGCTGTAGAATTTGCAAGAAGATGAAATGAGAGCTCATGTACACCATCCAGCCTCGGGCCTAACCCACAGTGGATGGCCACTGCTCCAGTCCCCTCCTGCAACCTCCTGGCTACCACAGTATGCACCCACCTCCTTATTCTGTGTGCTCTTTCAGGATGGCTGGCTTCGATGGCTCAGCGTGGGATGAAGAGGAGGAAGAGCCACCTGACCATCAGTACTACAATGACTTTCCGGGGAAGGAACCCCCTCTTGGGGGGGTAGTAGACATGAGGCTTCGAGAAGGAGCCATGCCAGGGGCTGCTCGACCCACTCCCCCCAGTGCCCAGACCCCTAGCCATCTGGGAGCTACACTGGTAAGTTACTTGGGTGGAGGTGACTGGGCCCTCCATGGGAGTGGTGCAGGTTTGTGGTCTCAGCTGATTCTTTTCCGTGCAGCCTGTAGGACAACCTGCTTCAGGAGACCCAGAAGTCCGCAAGCAGATACCACCTCCACCGCTCTGCCCAGGTACAAAGGGGAGCTGAGTGGGCAGAGCTACGTGTGCAGGGGGCATGGCGAGTGCACTGCAGAGCCTCCCTTTCCTCTGCAGGTAGAGAGCTCTTTGATGATCCTTCCTATGTCAATGTCCAGAACCTAGACAAGACCCGGCAAGCAGGGGCTGGGGCTGGACTCCCCAATCCTGCCATCAATGGCAGCGCACCCCGGGATCTCTTTGACATGAGTGAGTATATTTCCTTTATATCCCCACCTTCTTGTTTGGTTCCTTTTCTTCTGCCTGTTTCCCCTCTTTCCTGGCTTCTCTCTTGGAAGGTCTGGGTTGTAGGCCTCGGTTGGGTCAATTATCCCTTTTAACTCTCTCTGCATCCCCAGAACCATTTGAAGATGCCCTCCGGGTGCCTCCACCTTCCCAGTTGATGTCCATGGCTGAGCAGCTCCGAGGGGAACCCTGGTTTCATGGGAAGCTGAGCCGGCGGGAGGCTGAGGCACTGCTGCAGCTCAATGGGGACTTCCTGGTGCGAGAGAGCACGACCACTCCTGGCCAGTATGTGCTCACCGGCTTGCAGAGTGGGCAGCCTAAGCACCTGCTTTTGGTGGACCCTGAGGGTGTGGTGAGTGTGGCGGAGGTGTGGGTAGGGGTGGCAGGTACAGCACCCTCCTGTGCATCCTTCTTCCCTCATTGCTTTCTAGACTGTTTTCTGCAGGCAGCTCTCTGTTCTGGGTGTCTGGGGTCCCCTCGCCCCCAGTGGCTTAGCAGTCGTTCACCACTCATATCCCTAAGCAGACTATAGTCCTGAGCAGATTTCACATCCCCAGACCTTAAGGCCCTCAGAGCTGGAAGGTGCTCATCTCATCTTGTCCTCAGCCTTACATCCAGTCCCCCACCCCCTTTTTTTTTGTTGTTGAGACAGGGTCCTGCTACAAGTTGCCCAGGCAGAGCTCAGTTTTGATGTTCCTACCTCAGCCTCCCAGTGTGCTGGGATTGTAGGCATGCAGCACCAGGCCTGGCTTGTGCTTCTTTGGACAAGTGAGGAAACCACAGTGCCCAATGTCAGCTGGTTAGAGGCAAAATATTCCAGGCTAGTGCAAGAGTAGACAGGAGCTTCTGTGGTGCCCTAGACCCTGGGCTCAGACAATCCCCTTTCTTTTACCTGCACTGCCCACTGCTTCTCAAAACCTGGGCTTTTCCAGAGCAATCTCAGTCTCTGTTCCACATTTTGTTCACACTATGATCTTTCTCTGAGACATGCCAACTTTCTCTGACTCAAACTGTTATTCCCAGGCTAATGATTTCTGGGCTGATGTCCCCTTTTCCTTAGTCGCTGACCTGCCTATTCCTATAGCTGTGCATAGTATCGCTTTGTAGAGAAGCCTCAATAATCAGGGCTGATATCTTTTCTCTTCCCTATTTCCCCAATTGTCTTCTGCCTCAGCCCTCTTGACTGGCACGTCTTCCTCAACGATGGCCAGAGGTTTCACTCTTCATTTGAATTGCCTTTCCTTCCCACCTTCCCAGGTTCGGACAAAGGATCACCGCTTTGAGAGTGTCAGTCACCTCATCAGCTACCATATGGACAATCACTTACCCATCATCTCTGCGGGCAGTGAACTGTGTCTACAACAGCCCGTGGAGCGGAAACTTTGATCCATCCCAGCTTCTCTCCAGATGCCCTCTGGACCCTTCTACTCTCTTCCTTAACTCTCAGGACCTCACTTGGGAGTATTCTGTGGGCTTTGCCTTGGGTAGGAGCTGGGAGAAATGTGGACACTGGATTCAGTATCCAGTAGAATGAGAGGATTTGAGTCAGGAGCCTGGGGGAGAAACTTGTTTCTCCCCAAACCTCACCAAAGTATTAATGTACACAGTGGCCTCCTCATCTGGGCCTTTCCTGTGCCAACCTGATGCCCCCTTCCCCAAGAGGGGGTGCTTGTAATGGAAAATGTCCCACGGTGACAGACCCATGGGTGGAGCAGTCACCCTTCTGTGGAAGGGGGAATGAATTCCACTTCTGGTCTACTCCTGGGCTTCAGGGTACCCCAGACCCCTCTCAACACGCCCCCTCCCCCAAGTGTTTAAACTTTGTGCCTTTAACCATCTCCTAGGTTGGAAGAGTTCTCAGACCCTTGAGTTCAAGGACAGGGGTGCTGACATCTTCCTGGCTTCTGGGACTCTGTCCACTCTGCTCAGCACCCTCTCTGGTTTGGGTTGGGAAGAGGCAGGAGTGACAGCTGTCCCCAAGCCACGGGGATGTGCAACCCTCAGAGATGGCCCCAAAGCCCTCCTCCAGGCCGGGTGGGGGAGGATGGATGCCCCTTGCTCAGTGCCTCCTGGCTGGCCCCTCCTCCAGGGGTCTGTATATACATTTCTAAGCCCTGCCTCTCCTGTGTCGCATGCATGTTGTACCCTACAGCCAAAGTGCAGCCCTTCTTCCTGTCACTGGCCCTGCCTTCTGGATTCTGGGGCAGCGGGGTGACCAAATTTCAGCCTCCCCATGTAACTCCCAAGTGGGCTTTGTGGAGGTGGGATGGCATTGAGAAAGCAGTAGACAATCCCCAAATGCGATCTGTAGATTTGGAATTGCGTTCATTTTTTAATATGCACATATTTTAGGGCTGTAGATTTACTGCCCTTTGTTTTCCATGGCTTTTGAGCACAAAATGATGATAATCGATTACATTTATATATCACCTCTTTGACTTTTCTGAGCCCTTTTACAACTATTGGCATTTTTTCACCACCGGCAGCATTATCTTTTTTACAAGAGACCTAAGGCAGGCATTGATTTTGCCCTCGAACTGGAGAACTTGGACCTGGTAGGGTGAGGTTAGGAGGCATGTCTGCTTGGAGAGTTACAGTGTGGTGAAATGGGAGCTTAAGCTCCACCGGTGTTGAGGACTGGCCAGGGTATGCTGGACAGACAAGCCTCCCCTTGCTGGGCTGCAGGCCTGGTGGCAGGGAGGAAGGGATGAGGACGAAAGAAGGTGGGATGTTTGCATCCTGGGCACCTCCTTTTTTGTTTGGTTGTGTTCACAGGTCTCACTTATACCAAAGGGAAATAGTCTTCATTAAAGTCCGTGTTTCTTCTACATCTGCCTCTTAGCCCCTGTTGGGAGCCTATTGTCCGCTACAGGCCTTGGGTGGCGGGAGGCTGCCGGGTTCTGGCTGACCGGGCTGGACTCGAGGTCCGTGGGGTGGGTGTGCCCAACACCGAGCTGGCCGGCCGATCAGCTCCCCGGCCCACCCCGACCCTCGGAACCTCCAGGGCGCGCGCCCCGGCTCGCGCGCTCCCGGCAGCGGCCCCGCCCGGGTGGTACAATCCGGCCTCTGGGCGGACGCGCAGGCGCCACAGATCCTAGTGGAGCTGGAGCGGGCCCCGCCCGTGGCACGAAGCCGACCTCTCCAGCGGGGCGAAAGGCAGTCTCTCCCACCCTGGCTCCCCCACGCCGGGTCGTGCCCTGCCCTCTCTTCGCCTCCCCTCTGTGCGGCGCTTGGTGGTGGTGGCCCAGCCGAGTTCCGGTTCCGGTTGCTGCCACTGCCGCCCGCGGTCTTGGGTGTCCCGGGTGAGCACAGTTTGCGCTTCGCGCCGCACAGTGCTGCGCGCTGGTTGCAGTTCGGGGGCTCGTGGTGCCCCTGACTCCCGTTCTGGGCGATGGTGCGGCCTGAGGCTGCCTCCATCCCCTGCCGCCGCTGACCTGGGTCCTGCACTCCATGGCCGCCTCGGCGCCGCCCCCACCGGACAAGCTGGAGGGAGGTGGCGGCCCCGCACCGCCCCCTGCGCCGCCCAGCACCGGGAGGAAGCAGGGCAAGGCCGGTGAGAGTACGGAGAGGCGTGGGTGTGGGGTGGCAGGGCTTGGGAAGCTCGGAGGGAAGGTTTATGGGTGGCGGTAGTTGAGGGGATGTAGCCCATCGGCTTAGGGGAAGGTGTCAAAAGATTGACTTTAGGGTTTGGATCCACGTGGAATTAAGGAGTCACTTGGACTCTGATAGTGTCAAGAGATGGGCTGTGTCATTTCAAGGAAGACGGAGTTGAGAGTATGGTCATACAGTTCATGTAGCACTCCTTATTAGTACTGTATGTGTTAAATTAAGGAAGCAAGTATGGTAGGCGAATGGAGGTTGAAGAAACCTTAGGGAAACATGCCTGCGTTTCCTTTTTGCTGCTCTTCCAGGTCTGCAAATGAAGAGCCCAGAAAAGAAGCGAAGGAAGTCAAATACTCAGGTGATTGGAGGTTGGGTGGTGGAGTTAATTCCTAGCAGCCCCTAGGTGCTCTGTCTAATGGCTCTGCGGGTGCAGAGAGCAGAGAAAGTGGTTGTGCCATGTGTTTCTGGGTCTTTCTCAACCTATTGATATGCTTAGTTATGTTTTGATTAAAGGTCTTTTTTTTTTTTTTTTTTTTGGTGGAACCAGGGATTGAACTCAGGCCCTTGCACTTGCCAGGGAAGCGCTTATTCCACTGAGCCATCTCCCCGGGCCTAAAGGTGTTGTTCGGCAGTGTTATAGTCTTTCCCTCAGGTCTACTGTCCTGGTTGCCTCTTAATGATAAACACCTACAATGACTGAACCTTTCCTAAGTGCCAAGATTGTGCGAAAAGTGCTTTTAAGAGTTTTAGGAGGTATGCATTGGCCCTGTATTACAGGTGAGAAATCTGAGGCTTTAAAAATTAAATAAGCTAGCTGGGCCTGTGGTGCTTAGCTTAATCCCAGCACTCTGGGAGGCTAAGGCAGCAAGATGGCAAGTTTGAGCCCACTATAGGCAATTTAGAGACTTAGTGAGACACTGCCTCAAAAAAATAAGGAGCAAGAAGGCTGGGCAGGGTGGTGCATGCCTGTAATCCCTGCACTTAGGAGGCTGAGGCAGGATGATTGCTGTGAGTTCAAGACCAGCGTGGGCTACATAGCAAGACTGTCTGAAAAAGACAAAACAAAAGAGCTAGAGATACAGCTCAGTATGAATGCCCTGAGTTAAATCTTCAGTATAGCCCTCCAAAGTAATAAAATTAAATAAGCTGAACCTGATGGTACACACCTGTAATTCCAGGTCCCCAGAAGGCCTAAGCAGGAGGATTGGAAATTTGAGGCTATTTTGGGCAACTTACTGATAAATTGAAACAGGGATAGCACTGCCTGGGTTCAGTGCCCAGTAGTGTATGAAAAAGAAAAGAAAAAAAAAAGAAATTTGCTTCAGGGTCGGAGCTGGTGTGTCAGTGTACTTTTACCAGTTTTTCAAAACATAGATGTTATACTATATTGGCTTTCTTCTCCCTTTGTTTCTCTGTTGCATTTCACGGCCTTCTTGATTTTATTTCATTTTTTTTTTTAAATTTTATTTATTTATTTATTTTGGCGGAACCGGGGATTGAACTCAGATCCTTGAGTTTGCCGGTCAAGCGTTTATCCTACTGAGCCATCTCCCCGGCCCCGCCTTCTTGATTTTAGATCTGCCCCGGTCAGTAGCAGACCCCAAAGTGTGTGTTGTGTTTGTGGTGCTTTTCTGGTTCAGCTGTGTCTTCCTTTGTTGACCCTGTTTTTCTCCCCTCTCCACCAGGGCCCTGCATACTCACATCTGACAGAGTTTGCACCACCCCCGACTCCCATGGTGGATCACTTGGTTGCATCTAACCCTTTTGAGGATGACTTCGGCACCCCTAAAGTGGGAGGTGCAGCCCCTCCATTCCTTGGCAGCCCTGTGCCCTTTGGAGGCTTCCGTGTACAAGGGGGCATGGCAGGCCAGGTACCCCCAGGCTATGGCGCTGGGGGTGGAGGGGGACCCCAGCCACTTCGCCGACAACCTCCCCCATTCCCTCCCAACCCTATGGGACCAGCTTTCAACATGCCACCCCAGGGCCCTGGCTATCCTCCCCCTGGCAACATGAACTTCCCCAGCCAGCCCTTTAACCAATCTCTAGGTCAGAACTTCAGCCCTCCTGCTGGGCAGTTGATACCAGGTCCAGTGGGAGGGTTTGGCCCTATGATCTCACCCACTATGGGACAGCCTCCCAGAGGGGACCTTGGCCCACCTTCTCTCCCCCAGCGCTTTGCCCAGCCAGGGACACCTTTTGGCCCGTCTCTTCAGAGACCTGGGCAAGGGCTTCCCAGCCTGCCCCCCAATACCAGTCCTTTCCCTGGCCCTGACCCTGGCTTTCCTGGCCCTGGTGGTGAGGATGGGGGGAAGCCCCTGAATCCCCCTGCTCCCACTGCTTTCCCCCAGGAACCCCACTCAGGTTCCCCCGCTGCTGCTGTTAATGGGAATCAGCCCAGTTTTCCACCAAACAGTAGTGGGCGGGGTGGGGGCACTCCAGATACCAACAGCTTGGCACCCACTGGCAAGGCAGGTGGGAGCTCAGGGCCCCAGCCTCCACCAGGCCTAGTGTACCCATGTGGTGCCTGTCGGAGTGAGGTGAATGATGACCAGGACGCCATACTGTGTGAAGCCTCCTGCCAGAAGTGGTTCCACCGTGAGTGCACGGGCATGACTGAGAATGCCTATGGGCTGCTGACCACTGAGGCCTCTGCTGTGTGGGCCTGCGATCTCTGCCTCAAGACCAAGGAGATCCAGTCTGTGTACATCCGAGAGGGCATGGGGCAACTAGTGGCTGCTAATGATGGGTGACACTGGCAAGGTGGCCTGGAGAGGTGTGTCCCTCTTGCTCTGCTAGGGTGTTTGTCAGGCTCTTCAATCTTGTTTCCACTGCTTCCCATCCCCATGGAGCAGAAACATAATGGTTCCAGGGCAGAAGAGCCCAGACTGCTCACCTTTCTGGAAACTTGTGCATTGAGATCTATAGGTTCAGGAAACCAAAGCCCTGCTGAGCAGAGCCGTTTTTTGTGGCTATATCTGGAGGCCGAGGGATGCGGCTGCAGGAGAAAAGATGGAGGAGGCTCTCTAAGGCAGGGGTACCCCAGCTGCAGATGACAGGTGCCCTAACACCTGTGCCTAACATCCCCATCCAGCCCCACAGCCCTGGCTCAAGGGTGCAAATTTTCTTGGGTAAGAGACTTCCTATCTCTTCCCATTTCTACCACAGCCCTTTTGCGGGCTCTAGGAGACAGCTTTAGGGAATAAATGCGATTTCTCCCTTTTTCTGCCTTCCCTGTTACCTCTCCCAAGCCTATCCAATTCCTCCCCTTCAGAGTACCAAATAGCTGGAAGAGGCAGGAGTTCCTGGCCGTGGCAGTTTCTTGGTGACTTGGGGAGAGATGGCTGTCAGGACATAGCTTCCTCATACCAAAGTCACTGGTCCTTTCTCGGCTTGTTTTTTTAACTCCTAGTAACTTTTTTTTTTTTTTTTTTTTGCCAAAAATTGGGATATGTGGCCTGGCAGAGCAGAATATTTGACATTGGAGCTGTCCTAGAGACCTGGACTCTGGTGGCGCAGCCCTCCCTTGTCCATCTGTTGCACATTATCCTCAGCTCTGTTCTTCAACTCTTGGCGCCTTTGATCCCCACCCCCCTGGCCGCGCTGAAGGAAAGCTTGGAAGGGCACAGAGCCCTCATACCTCATTTCCTCTCAGATAAAGAGTCTAAATGAAATCTTATTACAACCTCGTGTAAGTAGGTGGAGGCACGATCCTCCGTGCCGTGGTACTAAAAGGTAGAAAAGCCTCACGTTTTTTGTTTTTTCTTTGCTATTAGTACCATCTCCAGCTTGGTGATCTACCATTTGTCATTCCTCGCAGCCACAATCCTGCATGGGGCCTGATTTGTTTTAATTTTAAATCACTGCCTGCCAGTGATGGGCCTAGTAGGGCCTGCTCAGAGCCTCTTTCCCTACAGCTTTTGTGCACATTCCTCAGAGGGGTGGGAAAGGCAGACCTGGGTGTGGCCCCCTGCCCTAGCTACAGTGGCAGATGCTACCTTCTGCAGCTCCCCACCTCCACTTCACTCAGTCTGCACTGTGGAGAGGAGGCCCTGCACGTGGAGCCAGCAGCCTTTGAGGCTGTGTGAAGCAAGCAGGCAGCCTCTGGGCTTCACTCCTGGTGGACTCCACACCAAAACAGCCTCTGTGGCAGCCCCCCTGCTCGATTTTGTGTTGTGTTTGTGCTTCTATTTGCCCCCCTTTTTATCTGTTGCTACATTTGTGTTGTGTTCCCCTCCACGGTTTGTAAAATGCTCCTGGGGAGTGTCTGTCCCATCTGCCCCCTCTTGCCCTCTCCACTACTTTTTGGAAGAAAGTGGCTGTGGCGGAGATTGGGATCTTTTGTATGGTTGGATTAATAAAATGGCTTGAAAATCCACATGTGGAGTCCTTACTGTTTATCTACAAAGAAGCTAGAATGAGCCATAGCCACTACTGGGACGAGTGCTTAGTCGGTGAGGGTGTCTGTTTCCCAGGGTCCCAGGAAGCTGGATGGTGGCAGGAAGGCCCTGGCGCTGGTACTGCGATAAGCTGCTGTGTTTCTTCACCGTCGTCCACTGCGGTGAGAAACCGATTTCCTTTCTGAGCACATTCCTGGGCCAGGCATGGAGCCAGGCGGATTTGGCTCTGAGGCCCCTGGGAGACCAGTGCTGGAGCTCTTCTGGGTTTAGTGCCCACCTACCTCCCCGCCCGTTTGGGGTCAAGTGTAGCTCCAATTGTAGGAAGGCCTTATCTGCCTTGTAGCAGATTTAATTTTTGGATGCTTTTCAGGCCCCCACCCCCGTCCTCTTAAAGTAGCAGTGGCACCCTCGAACAGCCTGCGTTGGAATGAGTAGGGAGGGTGGCAGAAGGGCTATTTCTAAACACGATTGCCACTCACCACTCGCCCCTCCCCCATCCTACAGCTGTTTCTATCTGTCCCGGGGTCAGTGTGGCCCTTGTCCTTGTTTTGGAAGACACAAAGGCCTTTCAATTTAGGCCTTCCTCTATAAGATCCAGACGAGAAAGGGGCTGACTTCACTCAAAAGTCCAGTTTGCTGGAACCTCGCCCACTAGCAGGTAAACCAGGGGATTAGAGCCTCCGTAGTTCTCTTTTTTCCCCTCCCGGATTCGCAAATTCAGTTTTTATTGGTGAAAAGTTTCCGCCCCCTTCGGGGAAGTAGACTTTTTATTGGTCAATCTTCAGTGACGTAACCACTCACGTTTCCTTAGGCTGGAAACCTGGGAAGGCAGCAACAAGTTATCTGAAGACGGAAGGGAGAGCTGGGTCCGGTCAGGTAATGAATGCCCTGGCTGGGAAGGGGCCTTCAGACCCCCTCTGTGAGAAGGGATTACTGGAGAGTAGAGCAGAGCTCTAGAAGGCATGGCTGCCACCTGGAGTCCACAGAGCAGCTTTTTAAAGGATTTAGGGCTGGGCGTAAGGAGGGGCGGGTATTTCCAAGCAGAAATTTGCTCTGAGTTCCCCAGACGGGTTCTTGTGGCTCTAGGTCCTTTGCATTAGAGTTTGGGAGAACAACTAGAGTTAGAGTTTGGTAGAAGGGTAGAAAATAGAGGCGCGATTTCCTAGTTTTGTATTGAATGAGAGAGCTCCCCCTTTAGCTGTTTTTTAGAAATAGCGTAAGTTTGTGATGATCCTTACAGAATATTTTTGTTGAATTCTGCTGAATGGAAAGGAAGGGGAGAGTAAGTAGGAATGGGTTTTCTTCTGAGACATAGATGAGAAGAAAAAGCTCTCAAAACAGCAGGGGTGCGAAGAGATCAGACAACAGACCCAACTTCCAAATAAGGCAGCGAGATGCTGGCTTGGGAGAACGGGGTATATTTTGGAATCTTGGATGAATACGGCTAAGAGAAAAGCCTCAGGGTTTGGGGCCCTGAATGGAGAGGTTCCAAACTGTCCCATGTTTGGGTTTCAAAAGTGTTTCTCTTGGTGACCCAAATACCATTGCTGGTTTCCATGGAAACACTTTGGTCTGACATCACTCTGGTTGCCATGGTACCTGGTTGTGGAGGACCTGAGCAGGCTGTACACAGCGAGGGATAAACAGGGACTTCAGCCCAATCTGCTGCCACTTCCTTCCTGCCACCACCTGTTAACAGTTATACACAGCAACTGTGCTGGCTGCGCAGGGGAAGATGATAGAACAGTGGGGGAGGGGCCAAAATCAGAAGCGGGCGCAGTGCTGGCTCATTCGGTTTCCATGGACGCATCATGGATGTCCCATGGTCTCTGTGGAGAATTGCACATCCCTAACTCTGCGGGGTGTGTGTGTGTGTGTGTGTGTGTGTGTGTGTGTGTGAGATGAGCATATGGAGTGGTGCTGTCAGGTGTCAGTCACCCATCCTGGGCTTGGATCTTGAGTGGCAAAAGCCATAGGAGATTATTAGGGCACCACAGAGGCCGGAAACCAGCTCAGACAAGTGGGGGCAGTGTACCTGTTTTCTAGGACAGAACGGCTACCCTCCTTTCCCAGTATTCCTTACCAAGTCATCTACTTGTTGCCCTTGGCCCTCTGGACCACAGTCTCAGCTTATCATCTGTCACTCCACTCTGCTTCTGATGGAAGCTTCCTGGCCTAAGGGCACAATCTTGGCCTTTGTTGGAGGGATCCCTCTCTTTTCGCCTTGCTTCATGCCCCTACCCTGCCAAGACAGAGCTAATTAGCAGTGGGTAGCACCAGAATCTTCTTCTTTTTTTTATCTTTAGCTATAGTTTTATTTTTATTTTATTTTTTTCAAAGTTTTATTGATAAACAGATAGTAATGAGACAGTTTCAAATCTAATCGGAAGTACAGTTTCAACAAATAATACACTGCATATATTCTTCTCAGTGGTTAATTGCTGTACAAGTGGGCTTGTGATCCTATTTACAAACACCATTAGAACAAATCATTCTATTCATTAAGAGAATGCAACTATATATCTATCCTAACCACTTTGAATACACAGATACATTCTTTTTTTTTTTTTTTCTATTTTTGTAAACAAGCGATTTATACAAGATAGTTGCCATAAATCCCTTTTCCTGGTCACCTTCAAGTTCCCTGAGACCAAACTCTCCAGATTACTAAGAAGGGAAATTAGAATTTAGAGTGGAGAGAGTGATGAGATTGGCTAAAGATGTGTCCAAGTGGATGTGTTCTGTGCCATGGCTCTCGGCCCTGGGTGTACTTGAGGATCATCTGAGCGGCTTTCACCCCACTGAGTCAGTCTTAGGGTACCAGTGTGAAGCTGGAATAGAGAACCCTTGAACCAGACCATATAGAGCACCCATGCTGTGTAGATTGTGGAGGCCATCACGTCTGTCTGGACCCTGAGGGAAGAGGCGGTGAGTTTAGAAGTGCTTGATGTTGTGAAGGGGGCCACTTGTTTTGTTTTTCCTCACTCTTAGCTGCTGCTCTTCCTGAGCTGCTGCTTCCCTGTCCCTAGCATCAGGGAGTTGGACTGGATGTTCCCCAGGGCCTTTCCAGCCCTGCATGCCTTTGACCTTTCAAGGTCTGTTCAGTTTTCCAAGGCCCCGTGGATCTCCAAAGAAGCAGCTTCTCTGTGGCTGTTGGCAGGTGCTGCTTTGCAAGGTAAATACTGCTCAGAAGAGCTGAGGTATCAGGGTCAGAAGGACTGGGACCAGCTGGGGTTTGGGTGCTGCTGCACAGCCCTTGATCTTTACTGCTTTATCTGTCCTCTCTCCTGCAGGGAACTCTGGTCCTTAAGAGAGCTTTTCTTTGCAGGTAACAGACACAGCAGCCCCAGGAACCTCAGCAGCTATGGCCTCCTGCCCTGACTCGGATAATAGCTGGGTGCTAGCTGGTGCAGAGGTAACAGGAGCAAGCCTGGGAAACACATGGGGAGGGCGGTTCCTCCAGAGCTGGGCTGCTTTCTGGATGTGTCCCCTTCCTTGGTCCTGATGGTCCCCTACATCTCCTCCTGTCTCCTGCTGGTTGTTAAAGGAATTCCAGTAGCAGAAAGGAGAACTGGCCACAAGGACTGGCTACTGGCACTTAGATCATACCTGCATGGAGGGGCATTATCTGGGTTAGCTGAGAGGAACAGGGAAAAAAATGCTGGTGGGGAGACCAGCAAGATCTGATGTCACGGAGGTGACAGTGAGAGAGCAATGTGGGGGAAGGTTATGAGGAGGTCATTGGAGACAGCATTGGAATGAGGGTGGGGTGGACCCTAGGAACCCTAGAAGAGGCCTAGGGGCCTGGTAGGCAACCAGACCTCCTCCTCATCAGCAGTCTAGGGAAGGACTCTGAGTTAGAGGATGGTGATTGTCTTGGAAGAGGGCCAAGCCACTGTGTAGGAACAGGGACCATAGGGCCAGGGAGATAGCTCAGTAGAGTTAGTGCTTGCTTGGCAAGCGCAAGGGCCTGAGTTCAATCCCTGGTTCTGCCAGAAAAAAAAAAAAAAAAAAGGAACAAGGACTGTATTTGGAAGGCTTCTGCAGCCATGCATGTAGCAGCTGATGGAACAGAATCCAGAGGGCTCCTGTGCTCCTGAAAAGAAAGAGAGGGGTTTGTGAAGTGGGGGATTAGTGGCTGGAGATGGTGGGGGATTGGCAGTGTGTCAGAGCCCAAGCCCTGTATCATATCCCAGGCCCTGTGACTGCATAGGTTGGAGCCATAAGGAGGAAAGGGGAGGAATCAATTTTTTTTTTAGTACAGGATCTACAGGGTCTCACTATACAGATCAGACTTGTAGTGATCTTCTTGTTTTCCACCTCCCAAGTGCTGGGATTATAGGCATGTGCCACCATGTCCATCTCAGTGGCCTGACTCAGCTTGTCCTGGGGTGGGGCTAGCACTGCTCACTGAGGATCGATCCCTGGTCACCTCACCTGCCTAAGCAGGCGCTCTAGTCCACTGAGCTATCTGGCCTGCCCTGAGGAGTCGATTTAGATAAGCTGGAAACGGGGAGTTGTCTTCAGCAGTGACACTGGAGAAGGACACCTGGCCTGGAGCTTGCTGGCAGAGGGGGGGCAGATGGTCACTGGATAGGTACAGTACTCTCAGGCAGCCCTGACCTCCTGGACCGTCCTTGCTGACAGCTGAAGGACCTGGGGAAGCCACTTTGCCTCTCTGTCCTCCCCTGGAAAGCGAGGGTATGAGTCTTGGCACTGTAGGGGTAGCCATGAGAAAAATATCATTTGAAAGTTGCAAAGGAACATTACAAAGGTCAAGAATTATTTTTGGAGGGATTACAGGAGCCATGGATGGGGCGGCCAGCAGTGGGTAGGCAGTGAGGCTGAGGCCATGTGGCCAGGCTGGAGGCTGGGCCGTGAGCACCACAGGAGTCAGGCAGTCTGTGACTGGGCACTTGGGCTTCTGCCACTAGCTGCTGGGGAATGGGTGTGTGTGTGGGAATGTTGGGCCAGCGAGAAAGGCCAGAAAAGCTTGGCGGATATAAGCAGATGGACAGCGGGAGGAATGGCCTGGGAACGTCATTCTGACACTTGTGTACCCAGGAAACTTTAGCTTCCCACCCCAACCAATAACCTGACTTCTGTGGGATTCTTATAGCAGCCATGAGGTTAGGCAATGTCTGAGATGGGCCTACTTGGGATCAGGTCCCTGCTGAGTGGTCATTTCTTTTGAGACATGAGTGGGGGGTTCCTGAGTGTGCAACTGGCGCCAGGGGCCCCACTAGAGTACCCCTACCCCTGTTTCTGTCCTGCTGGCCTTCCTCTAAGTAGTTCTGTGCTTTTTCCCTCTCCAGAGCCTGCCTGTGGAAATCTTGGGCCCAGAACCCAGGTCCGACCTTAAAGCTGAGACAGCACCCCAGGTATCTCAAAACTCCTCCAAGGAGGATGGTGAAGAATTAGCTGGGACCTTGGATGGCGAAGGTAACGGGGGTCTAGGGATCATGGTGGTGCCGCTCTTCTCCAGGGGTTCCCATTTCCTGGGGGACAGGGGTGCTGCTTAGTTGTCAAGCCTGGTAGGGGTACATGTGGCCAGAGGCAGAGTAGGAAGTTCAGCGGGGGCAGTGTTTTTTCCTGGGCCTTTTCTCTCACCACAGAGAACTTTTTCCAGACGGAAAGTCCCCAGACTCATCCCACTGGGCCTGAGGAGGCCGAGGCCAAGGTGAGGACCTTCATCTGGGGCAGGATGGGTGGTGAGCAGGGGTGGATCCTGCTCATAGCTGTGCCCCTACCAGGCTGCTGTGGGAGGAGATGGTCCTGATGTGGAGCCCCCTGGGCCAGGAGACACAGCGGTTCAGGGAGACATGCAGGAAACTTCCATGGCAACAAGCCTGGGCCCAGACACACAAGACCTTGAGGACGTGCAGAGCCGGCCTTCCAAGCCCCAAGCAGGTAAGAGCCCCTTTCTTTCCTCCCCCTGGAATGTGTGAGAGAGGGAACAGCTGTCGATACGGTCGGAGCTCGGACTCAGGTCCTTTCTTACCATACCACTAAAGACACTGGGCTCAGACAACTTCAGCGATTTGACCAGTACCACATGACAGGGCCCCCACCTGGCTGACTCTTCTCCTATACCTTGGGACCTCCTTTTTTCTTGCTTCCAGAACTTAGTCCTCCTTTTCAGAGTCCCCTTCTTGTGCTGGCTCTGGGTCTGGGAGGAGGGAAGGTGGGTGCTTCATGAACTCTTAAGGAGCAGACCAGACTGAGCTAGGATGCCAGTCAGACCCAGGAAGGCACAGAAAGTAGGTGTAATGAAGGGGCTCCCAATGGACAGGGCAGCAGTCCAGTCAGGAAGAGACTGAGGGCACGAGAGAGGCAAATGGAGGTGCCATTTGAGTGGATCGTCAAGCATAGGAGCAGAAAGTAGGGAGCCCAGGAAGAAGAGAACATTCTAGGCCAAGACTGCAGCATCTACAGAGCCAGGGTGGGGGTCATGGCTATGGAGAGATGTGCAGAAGTTGCCTCTGTTGGGGACAGGGAGGTAGAGGCTAGGTACAGCAGAGCCCTTGCAGTGATCTGACCTGAATCAAGGTAGTTCTCTGGGGTTGTGAGGAAGGAGGACTGGAGGCTTCATGGACTCATGTGTCAGGCTTCTGGTGTGAAGAGAAGAGGAAGCATAGGCTAGCCAGATGGTCACAGTGGTGCCTTTCCCTTGACCAAGGGACCCAGAGAAGAGACAGTCTGGTCCTGAGGAAGTTCTAGAAGGGAGTTCCTGGGTGTTCAGACACACAGGTCTGGATCTCCTGGGAGGCCTGGAAGGGCTATGAGTCAGGGACTTATGTACTACAGCATGGGGCAGGTGAGAGGGTTGTGACCCTGTGGATGGAGAGAGAAGCAGAGAAGGTGCCAGGAAGACCACTGCTGTCCACAGGAGCGGAGGTGAGCTGGGATGGCAGACTGAGAGGCACAGATGGAGGGTCCCCAGAGATCCCAGAAGGATGGCAAGCCCTGCACAAACTTAACACAAGGCACACACTGGAGGAAGGAGGATGCTTTTAAGAATGAAAATGGCTCTTGGCTTCCTCCCCTCTCCCTCTTCCTCCTCCTCTTTGCAGTACAAGGGATTAAACCTAGGGCCTTTGGACTGAGCTATAACTCCAGCTCTTATAATTAACTTTTCATTTTGAGACTCTTGTCACTTGTAGATTGAAAGGACAGTTCTCCTATTTCCAGTCTGGGCAGAAGCAGGGATCATTGATGGGCAGGGTCCCTGTGTGTCTTCTCTGTGGTTTGGCTGGGGGTCTCTCTGTGTCCTCTTCTACTTCCTCTCTGCATCTTGCCTCTCCATTGGCTTCACTGTCCTGTGCCCTTCCCTAGCTTGGATTAGAGAGGAAGGCCTCTGCTCCACCAGTGAGGATGATACTGACGTGGACACGGAGGGCCTGCGGAGACGACGGGGCCGCCAACCCATCCTACCTCAGACTTTGGCAGCCTTGGGCATGGAGGAACAGGCCAAGGGCGAGGTTGCCAATGGGGAGCTGGGCATCTCGCTCAACATGTGTCTTCTGGGGGCCCTGGTTCTGCTGGGCCTGGGGATTCTCCTCTTCTCTGGTGAGTGGAGCCTTACTCGTCCTCCTGCCTGCTTGTGCCCTGCCTCCCTCCATTCCACCCTGAGGCCTCACTAGGCTTCCCTCTTTATACTCAGGTGGCCTCTCAGAGTCGGAGACTGGTGAGTGGGGAGGGGCCCTGACTTGTGCTTGTTGATGTGTGTGTGTGTGTGTGTGTGTGTGTGTGTGTGTGTGTGTGTGTGTTCTCTGGGTTGGGGGCAGTGTGTTTGGGGTTGCACATGATTTCCCACTTTCTAACCTTGTCAGCTGTTCAGGTGACACCTTTACCTAGCTAGACCTGGACTGTAGGGTATGTTCACAGCGGGAAGGGGTGCCTGAGAGCGGGAGTGATGCTGGCTTCAGGAGCTCATTTTCCTGCAGGGCCCATGGAGGAAGCAGAGCTGCAGGTCTTCCCTGGTACTGGCTCAGACACTGAGCTGGTGGATGCTGTGGGCAGTGGGCAGGTATGTGTGAAGCTGTGTCTCCACAGGTGTGGGACCTGCTGGGGAGAACCCAGGCTACTGGGCTGTGGGACAGCGTGAGGTGGCTGGATCTTCTGTCCTCAGGATGGACTCGTGGACCAGCTGCAGGCCTCAGTTTCTACTGACAGTGTCCCCAGCCTGCATAACATGGGTCTGCTGCTGGACAGGCTGGCCAAGGAGAACCAGGACATCCGGCTGCTGCAGGCCCAGCTGCAGGTAGGCACAGGAAGGAGGGTATAGGCTGTTATCTAGCCCCCTCCTCCATCCCGGTGTCTGTCTTAGTGTCCATCCCAAAAAAGAGTTTTCAGGGGCCGGGGAGATAGCTCAGTAGAATAAGTGCTTGCCTGGCGAGTGCAAGGGTCTGAGTTCAATCCCTGGTACTGCAAAAAAAAAAAAAAAGGAGTTTTCCCTTTCCACACATACACCTTGAGCTTGCCTAGTGTGTTTGCCTTCCTCCTGCCAAGGTCTGGACCAGGGCTGGCATGTATTTCGTGGCATTTCACCTCTGATTGACTGATATGTTCTTCCTCTGAGTATTGTCAGAGAAGGGTTTGAAGAACATCCAAGGCTCATGCCAAGTGCTACGATCAGTTGACAGTGTCGGCTCTGGGTGTGGGAGCTGGAAATGGGCCTGGAGCTACCTATTGGCTACCTTTAAGGGAACTTAAGAAGTGTGCTTGTGTGGTGACATAGATGCTGAGGCCCAGGGTGGAATTTGGGGATTCAAGGCTCGGGGTTTGGCAGAGGGGTGGGGAGTGGGAGAGGTGATGGCATTGGTAAGACACTGAGAATCAAATCATCTGGGTGTCCCAGGCTGTAAAAGGGTTAAGTTACCTGTTCACTCCAATGGGATGCAATCAAGATAAAAGGCATCAGATCCATCCTGAAAAGGACTCTTTATGGTTTCTTCCATCCCTAACCACATTCTAGGCCCAGAAAGAAGAGCTTCAGAGCCTCATGCAACAGCCCAAAGGGCTGGAGGAGGAGAATGCCCGGCTCCGGAGTGCCCTGCAGCAGGGTGAGGCTTCCCAGCGGGCCCTGGAGTCAGAGTTGCAGCAGCTACGGACGCGACTCCAGGAGCTGAGGTCTGACTGCATCCAGGGCCCAGATGGGGTGTGCCTCAGCCAGCGCCACGGCGCACAGGGGGGCAAGCTCACCGCAGAGCAAGGCCCCCGGGGGCCAGAGCTGGCGTCCAACTTCCTAGAGGAGAAGGCGAAGCTGGAGGAAGAAGCCCAGGTGCTGAGGAAGGAGCTGCAGAGACAGCGACAGCTGCTGGGCTCTGTGCAGCAGGACCTGCAGAAGAGCTTGCGGAACGCTGGCCAAGGGGACTCAGCTCACGCTGGCCTGGCTGAGCTGGGCCACAGATTGGCCCAGACACTGAAGGGCCTGGAGAACTGGGGCCCAGACCCTGGGGTCCCTGCCAATGCTTCAGAGGCCTGGCATCAGAAGCCCCGATGGGCAAGAAAGAAGTGGCATGATGGGCAGAGGGACAGGAAAGCTGAGCACTGGAAGCATAGGAGGGAGGAGTCTGGCTGGGAGAGGAAGAAGAGCTTTGAGGGTGAGGACAGGGAGCTGGCAGGGAGGTGGAAGGAGGACAGACTGAGGGGACAGCAGTGGGGGGGCCAGAAGGATAGGAAACAACAGGACTCCAAAGAAGCTGCGTGGAAAAGTGGGAGTCCCCACTCTGGAGAAAGGCAGAGGCATCCCCACGGGAGAGAAGGGGCTAAAGACAACCAGGACTCGCTGCACCCCTGGAAGGAGCTGTTGAGGCGCAAGTACAAGGCCCCCCAGGGCTGCTCAGGTGTGGCTGGGTGTGCCCGGCAGGAGGGCCTGACCTTCTTTGGCACAGAGCTGGCCCCAGTGCGGCAACAGGAGCTGGCCTCTCTGCTGAGGACATACCTTGAGCAGCTTCCCTGGGCTGGGCAGCTGGCCAAGGAGCTACCCCTCTTGCCTGCTTACTTTGGTGAGGATGGCATCTTCCGGCATGACCGCCTCCGCTTCCGGGACTTTGTGGATGCCTTGGAGGACAGCCTGGAGGAGGTGGCAGTGAGGCAGACGGGCGATGACGATGAGGTGGACGACTTCGAGGACTTCATCTTTAGCCACTTTTTTGGAGACAAAGCACTGAAGAGAAGGTGGGCAGCTGTGGGGGACCCCAGTCTTTTGAGACGGAATTGGTACATCTGGGAGGAATGTGAAGGAGCCAGGCCCCTAAGTGGAGGCCTTTAAGAACTCCCCAGGTTGGCCCTAGCTTGCTTCCCTTCGAGAAGGCATCCATGTACTTTCTGAAGAACTCCTGAGGAGTTCCCTTTTAGAGTGGTACAGGGGGTTCTCCCGAGTTGTCCTCCCTTGCCTGTACCTGCTGGTCTGGGGTATATGGAAGAAGACCCCATCTTCCTGCCCCCCCAGCTGAAGCCTCCATTCTGGGAAACCAGGTCTTCCCCCACGCATGGTGGTGACCCCTTGAGCTGGCCTCATTAGGAGAAAGAGTCCCTTTCTTGGGAGTCCCTTCTCAACAGGGTATTGTCTCCTCAAGGCATCTTTCTCCTCTAATCCCATGTCCCCTCACAGGTCAGGGAAGAAAGACAAGCACTTTCGGAGCCCCGGAGTTATGGGGCCCAGGGAGGAGCACAGCCACCACTCTCCGCACTACCACCGAGGCTGAGTCCTGTTTGTGTGGGCACAGTCTTGGCCCTGTGATCCCGGCAGCATCTCACTCTTGGCTGCAACAGACCATTCAGTTGGCCTCTCCTGGCTTGGCTGGTGTCCTTGGGGTATCCTTCACCGAGGAGAGCGGAGCACCCAGCCCTGCACTGATACCACTTTCTCTAGAAAAGGCATTATCTGGACCTGCCTGCTGTCTATGCAAATGTGTGCAAATGCCGAGGTCCCTGGGCACAGGCCCTGCACCCTGATTGTGAGTGCATTGCGTCCCCCTGCATGAAGGGGGGATGCAAAGGGGCCCTGTTTTTAGGGGGAGGGCATTCTGGTTTTGAAACCAGAGAGCCTTCACTCTTCTGGGTGCCTTCTGCTCCGCACACTGACCCAGCGCCCCCTGGGACTGACTAGAGTTGATGGCAGGAGGCCCAGCGCCAGGGCTTGCTGTGGGGTTTTGTTAGATTTGGAAGCAGCTGTCCCTGGAGGGTGAAGTCCCTTTTCTCCCTGCTTCTCACGTGGCCAGCTTTGCCATGTGAACTGCAGACTCGTGGCAGGGGTGTCTCCAACTTGGCACTCAGTCACTGTCCCGGCTTGTCCCCCCTGCCTTCCCTCTCACCAAGCCCAGGCACCATGAGCTCACAGCTGCCCCTCCTGCACCCCTAGGAGAGGTGGAAGAATGACTAGACGAGAGCATTGGCTCTGGAGTGTGGGCCTTGGGCCCAGCTCTGGGCTAAACGATCTTGGGCAAATTAATCTCTGTAACCCTTGGGTTTCTCATCCTCTTAAAAGGGGATCAAAAGGCTGAGAAAGAGATTAAATAAAGTGATATCCCCTGATTTTGGCACTCAAATTTTTGCTGTATTTGAAGCAAGCTTGGGCAAGGGAAGAAAGCCTTCACCCTGGCATGTGGGTGGGGCTGGGAAGGTGAGGAGGCCACTGGGTGGCACCCTGGCTTCACCTGCACTCCAGACATCCTGACCCTCCCCACCGACCCCAGGGCCTGGTCCGTTGGCTGCTCGCTCCAGAAGCCCCAGAGTCCTCTCTGGGGAGTCCTCCTTGAGGTCTGTGCTTACCAGACTGGCTCTTTGACCTCCCTGGGTGTCTGCTGGTGAGGCAGGTCAGGGAAGTGTGTCAGTTAGGAGGGGTGGAACCACAGGCTCTAGAAGGGGGCAGTGACTGATTTCTGATTACTCAGGAGGTGCTGTGTGACACTTTTTAAAGGATTTAAGTGTATGAGCTCATTTAATTCTGGTGTGGGGCAGGCAGGCCTGTGGGTGGAACGCTCATTGTGTAGACATGTGTTGTCAAGTGTGTACTGGAAACAGCGAGACCCCGGGAACACAGATGCTGAAAGGCTTCGTGTCCGGTGGAGCCCAAGTCCTACAGCAGGAGACCCCTGCAGCTAGGCCTAGGGAAGAACTTCCTGCCAGGCTGGACAGATTTAAAAAGGAATCTTGTGTTTCTGGAATGGAGATTGGGAGAAGCAAGTACAGACTGGCGCAGTGCCAGGGCTTGGATTGGGCGCCAGGCTCAGTGGACTTGTGTTCCTCAGAAGGCCTAGTTTTATGCTGTTCATGTTACTCACCCTGTGGAAGTGGTCAGAATCCTTGCTGCCTAAACAACTGACCCGCCACCAGGGTAGCTGAGAAGAAAGGCAGGCTGGACAGTTGGCAGGAGCTGCGTCCTGTCCTGCACCTAGGGGTGAGGAAGCACATGGCCTTCTGGGCTCCTAGAGCGTGTTGGCTCTCACTCACTTCAGCCTCTTGGGGCCTCTGGACTTCATTTCTAGGGCCCACTTCCTTTCTTCTGCCTACTGAACTCTCATAAGGCTGGGGGGAGGGGCTGTGCCCCTAAACCCCTTGGTCTTAGCTGGGAAGTAGATGTGCTAAGCTGAGTTCTTGCAAACCAGGGTATCAGGAAAAGAAAGCCACAATCCAAGCAGCATGTTAGGAAGGGCCTGAACACTAGGGACATCAGGCACTTGCTTGATTACCCTTCTCTGGGGTGCCCTTGGGCAGTTGTCCTCACACCCCTGTGAAGCCCCATCACACTCAGGCACCCCTGTAAACGTAAGTTGGGGGAGCACAGGACCATAGGATGCTGTCTGGACCAGGGGCCAGTGTGTAGAGGCGAGGGAGCTGTTCTGTCCTGACCAAGTGGATGGGGTGGTTCCTGGCCTGCCCGGGGTGGGGTGATGCTGTGGACTCTGCTGCTCATCTCTGTGGGGGCTTCCGATGGCTAGGGCAAGCCCTCTCAGTTTAGGCCTTTGGCCTTTGCTGCCCCTGGCTTCTGTCTGTCTGTAAATGTCACCCTCACAACTCTATGGGCCCAGTCTATGGGCTCAGGGGAATCACTAGCATAAATAGCACTCTTGGGCCCTCTAGTTCAAGAGCAAAAGTTCTGTGTGCTTTGGCCAGTTCCCCAAACTCCTCTCCCAGTGGGCCCTTTGTCTGCCATTTCTCTTTTCCCTGTCTCTCATTCTCTCTCTCTCTCTCTCTCTCTCTCTCTCTCTCTCTCTCTCTCTCTCTCTCTCTCTCTCTCTCCCTCTCTCTTTGGTGGAACTGGGGATTGAACTCAGGCCCCAAGTGCTTATTCTACTGAGCCATCTCCCCAACCCCTTCCTGCCTCTCATTCTCTAGCTCTCAGTCCTCTCCTGGCTTCTCCAGCTGCCCTTTCCTCCCATGCTCTTATCTCTCTGCTGCCCCTACCCCCCTGCCACTCCTACCCCCTGGTCTGTCACCTCTGGGATCTCCCCTGTCTCTCCCTGCCTCCCAAGTCCTCTAGGAGCCAGCCTTTCTCCACTGCCCTTCATTCCCACCTGTTTTGGGGTACAGTGGGGTGGTGGTGGGTCTGATACCCTCTTGATCTCCTGGAGGTCTAAAACGTGTGCTTCTTTAGAGGGCAACTTCCAGCCTCCTCTGCTGGGCCCAAGGACAGACACTGGGCAGGCTGGCTGTTGCCATGGGAACCTCAATGGCCATTGCTGATGTAGATAATATTATCAGGCCTTGTTCTGGGCCACAGATGTGCCTGGGCCCTTCACATGCTGACAGCAGGGGCCGGGGAAGGACATTGCAGAGAGAGAGTGGGAGATGTTGTTCACATAACACCTGCTCTCGCCCCTTGCTGCTACAGCCCTCAGCTGCCTGACCTGCAAAGTCTCTCACTGACCACTTAGCTTTTGTCGGAGAGGCCTGTCCCTCCCCTCAGAGGCCCCCATAAGGTTGTAGCCCAGCCTTTTAGTATTTTGCTTCTAGAATAGGTGCCTTCTCCCTCCTACACAGGACAACACAGAAAAAAAGCTCATGGTGCCAGTGTGTCCTGGCAAGGCAAGGGTCTTTTCTAAGTAGAGCTTTGGCCCGAGCAGGATTTGCCGCCTAAAGCCCAGGGTGTCAGGTCTCTGCTGTGCCCAGTGAGTCCCTCAGGCAAGAGGCCCAGCTGTGGCAGGACTCAGCCTCCCTATCACTGAGGTGGACACAGTGGTACCTCTCCAAAACAAGCCCCTGTGCCCACAGTGGGAGGCTTTGGAATCTGTAGTACAGTCATGCCTTGGTATCTCAGGGGGATTCATCCCAGGACCCCCGTAGATACCAAAACCCATGGGTGCTCAGCTCCCAGATATAAAATAGCATGCTATTTACATATTCCCCACGCACAGCCTCCCATGCACTTTATTCGTCTGGAGATGACTATCATACCTGATATTTCATACAATATGAGTGCTGTGTGAACAGTTGTGATGCTGTATTGTTTAGCAAACACTGCTAACGCATGCGCAAACAAGCATTGGTTGGTTGAATCCATAGACGTGGACCCTGTGGATACGGTCCTGTTAAAATAGTGATTATTTTTATTTTACTTAACCTCTAAGAGGAGACTGAACTATTGACATAGGGGCAGAGGGGTTTGTAGTAGGAGCTAGCAGGGAAAAGATGCCAGCTAGCTCCCATGTCCTAGCACTGTACTGGGTGCTGTGGGCTCATTCCTTGTCCCTGAGACTAACTGGATGATAACACCAAGAAGAATGTAACTCATGCTGTCTCCATTCTACCAGGAGGGGTCTGCAGAGTGGGTAGGCGGCCTCTCAGTTGGATCCTGGAGGATAATAGGGTTGTGTGATGGGGAGAGGACCTCTCGGCTTCAAGGGTGAAATGAGAAGGTGGAACAGCCTGTGGCCAGATGGGCCGGAAGGCACATTCTCCCACCAGGCTGCCCACAGGTCACCAAGAATGTCTTCAGAGCAGGGACAGCTGTGTGGAGAGGGTGCACAGGGGTGTAAGGCCCCCAGCTACCTGAGGGTGGAACAGGGTGTGACATGGGGGCCAGGGGTGGCAACAAGAATTGACACAGACACCACAACAGGAACAGCAGACCAACTCCTAGGCCGTTAACCTGTTACTCTTCTTCGTCTTCTTCCTTCTTCTTCTTCTTTTTTTTTTTTTGCAGAACCGGGGATTGAACTCAAGCTCTTGCACTTGCCGGGCAAGTATTTAATCTACTGCGCTGTCTCCCCAGCCCTGTTACTCTTTTCTTGTTTTCCTTTTCTGTTCCTTGTTTTCTTTTTGGTTTAACTTTTTTTTTCTTTTTTATGGTGCTAGGGATTGAACTCATGGTCTCACACATGCTGACCACTGGGCTATACCTACTTCCAACCCCCTTTTTTTTTTCCCCCAGGGGGTAGGATGGGTGGCAGGGTCTCACTGTGTAGCTCAAGCTGTCCCTGAACTCACTGTGATGCTCCTGCCTCAGTTTCCCAAGTGCTGAGATTACAGATGTGTAGAACCAAATTTGACTCCGGTTACTTTTTTTTTTTTTTCTGAGACAGGGTCTTTCAATGTATTTTGGGTTAGCTTTGAACTCTGTAGCCCAGGCTGGTAGTCCTCCTGCCTCAGCCTCCCTAGTGCTGGGATTACAAACATGTGCCACCATCGTGGCAGCTCCAGTTGCTTATTAAAAGCATGGTTTGTTGTTGGGTGTGCATGCTTTTAATTCCAGAAGGAGGACTGCTTCCAGTACAAGGCAAGCCTAGGCCATATAGCAAGATTCTGTCAAGCCAGGCGTGGTAGCACATGTCTATTATCCCAGCACCGGGAGGCTGAGGCAGAAGGATGGTTGTGAGTTCAAGACAAGCCTGGGCTACAAAATGAGCTCAAGGCCAACCTGAACTGTACAGCAAGACCCTGTCTCAAAGATTAAAACAAAACAAAACAAAACAACAACAACAACAAAAAAAAAAAAACCTGTCTCAAAAAAAAAAAAATCATGGTTTGTGTTTATATATTTGGTACAGGGTCTCGCTATGTGGTAATCTTCCTATTTCAACCTCCCTAGTGTTGGGATTACAGACCTGTGGCCAGCTCAGCATGCCCAGGGTCAGAGCCAGCACAGCATGTAATGCAGGGGTGATTGAACCCCTACCCTTGCCCTTGCCTAGGTAGGTGCTTAGACTGCTGAGCTATCTCCTCCACGGCCCCAGTCTGTGTTTTCTTCTAAGATATACAGGAACTTAAAAGTGAATTTGTGGGCTGGTGAGATGGCTCAGTGGTCTAAAGCACCTACTTAGAACAAGCTTAGCAAAGCACAGGGACCGCAGTTCAATCCCCCAGCACCACATGC